TCTGTCTTTCTTTCTTTCTTTCTTTTTTCGGCTTGAATAGTGTCGCTTCTGCTGTCACTTTTTACCATCTACATACCTTTTGGTTTTTTTTTAAACTAGTACTAACTGATACCCACGCTCCAAGAGGGATTATTTTACTATTTTTTCCTTTAAAAATGCTTTTTACGACAAGTATACCCCACACAGTTTTTTTAAAAGGAATCCCCGCCTGGAAAAGAAAACCCAATGAAACGTGACTCACTTCACGATGCAAAAACTTACACGTACATACATGACGATATTTTGTTATGAATACTGAAAAGGAAAACATATTGAAGTAGAAAGTTCTTGAGTGATTCAGAACCTCCTGCTCAGAGCTTAAACGTATACCAGATGGATATGATATGGAGATTCTATGGAGACCCGCCGAATAGCGAGGTTTCTCTAGACACTGAGCTTTTCCAGCTGCGCATTTCCGCTTGGGAGTGATAAGATCATAAAACTATTCAGCTCAGCATGCAGTTGACTCCCAATAAACGGAAAAGTGAATGATGCGTGGGAGAGGAACCCTACCACAAAAAGGCCCCATACCAGATTTCCATCCATGGACAGGAAGGAGGGGTCGGGGGGTTATACTCAACAAAGTAGCACCACCTCGAGAAACAAACGCTTTCCCTATTTTCAGTCACCGACAAGGTAACCATTTCTGACATCGTCCATAAGCCGGAAATGGTACCCCTTTCGCATACCTACAGCATAATTTTACCGACTGCTGAAAAGGTCCATCACAGTATTACTGAGGCTACCCTAGAAAATCTCCAAATCGTTCGGTTCAAACCCCAAAGCCTCCTCTTCATCAATAAACCTCAGCGAGATATTTCAAATACCCTTTTAACTGTCTCAGAATAACAATTTTTCATACGCCCTTTTATACTTCAACTAGGAAAAACCCTACGCTTTAATTAATGTACCTACAAACTGAAAAACTTCTTTTGGGCAGGGCATAGCCATATACTCGATTATTGGGAGGTACCATCCCCCCGGATTTCCATTTGAGAATGCGACGAGGCTATTCCGCATGGAACCCGCCTTTCCAGTGGCACACCACCCCTGTTGTTATTGCGTAGTTTTGAAAAAGAGTATAGAAACCAGTATATATCTGCTGATATCAGATGGTAGCGCTGTGAATCTTTATAACCGAACTGGCGAAAAATAACGTAAATGTTCGTGTAATCGATAGTTTATATTTGTTTTGAACGGTGCTACGTTAATTGGCTCACCCAACATCAGTCTGTGTATATCACAAAACTTAAAGAAAACAGTTAGATGCTAGAAAATTGAAAATTGTCGAGTCCAAGGTATATTACCTCCTTTCTTGGCTTGCATCCGCAAAAATGTGTGCTCTATTATGGGGAGGGAATACATGAATTATCTTTCTTTCACCCCATGGCTTGTGGGACATTTATTCGCTATATTGGGGCGTAGATTTTAGTACGTTTAGGGCTCCGAAAACAAGAATTTCGGTATAGACGGGTTCTGTTCCGTACCGTTTACGTGTAGAGGTTCGTTAAACCAAGTTTCATTGACTGCAGCGCTAGTTCTGTTTTCGATTTTTATCGCTTAATTATCTTCTTTTGGCTGGTTTTCTTTGTATCATTACGGTAACTAAAATTATCGACAATTTTTAAACCACGTTTTTTTTTGTTTTTGTTTTCATTATTATTTGTTAGCTTGCCTTGCGTAAGAGAAACATTAATATATCAATATCAGACACATCAGTTTCAAAACTCTCCCTTAACACGCAGACCGGATACTGATAAAATATAATTATGTTTTACTAAATAGGTTTAAAGTGATAAACAAGTGATAAGCTATATTTTCCTTGCGAAATTAGTGGTAACGCTTTTGTCGACCGACTGACCCGCAGAGGAGCATTATGTCGTGCTTTGTGAAATATCGCGCTTTTTGTGGGTACTTACAAAATTAATCGTAGCAATAATTGAGTCGAAAACACTCAAGTTATCAAATATTTAGCAGTTCAGCTCCCGATATGGCCGATTATTCTTCTTTTTCGTGTAAACTTGCTATTGTAGCGGCAGATGAATTTAACTACGGCGCAAAGTGTAAAATCCCCCCTTGCAGTCACAGAATGTTGCTTGCAAACAAGGGTTTCCCTCCCCGCGCAATATACGCCTGTCACAGCAACCAGAGGGCTCTTTGTTTACTAGCCTGCTCATGCAACTGAAAACGGGCAAGACTGAAAGGAATTTTTGGTTTTGGCCAATATACACCAGCCGTAGTGCTTTCCTTACACAATGAAAGCATATGGCACGAAAATGAGAGCAGAAGAAAAAAAAAACTTGAACGGTTTACAATGGTACACAACTACCCGTTTCACAACCTGCGCGTAAACACACAACCGATTACATTTTATGCACGCTTCTTCCTAGGTGGTCAAACTGTTGCAGGAAATTGTGAAATTTCTAATATTCCGACCTTTTCTTCCAGCATGGCTGCTGTCAAAGCGACAAATTATACCTGTCTCATTTGATATACGTCTGACAAACGCGTCAACTAGCAAAGAGTTTGTTTTCTTCACATGAAAGGAGATAGCAAGACCACTTCCGAAGGGCCGTAATGGGACGAAATCATTGGCTCGGCCGGCAAACCTCCCGCCAAATTAATAACCTTGTGTTGACTGAGAACTCAGCAGTTGACAGCTTGCCTCCCGGGGCGATAATTTATTCCCAAGGCAAAGGTGTAAACAAAACGCAATATCGCTCTAAGCGGGAGATGAGAATTTTGGCTCTGCCTGTTGGGTTCACAGTATCCCTGTGCCTTATTCGAGGTAATTTTTAGCTAAAAAAAACCCTTTAGACTCGCCCCGTGACCGACGGAATTACGATAAAATCTCTCCGCGTCGACAAATAGAGGTTGCCCGTCGCGCGTTTGGTGGGCGGTAAAGCCCGGAAGCCGACAACTCGTAATATCATATTCCCCTATAATGTACCCCCATTGGTGAAGTGTTTTGCGTGTGTCGCGACAATGACTCGCGAGTCACGCGATCTCTTCGCGATAGCCAAACATCCATTACTATGGCTTAAAGAGTCATTAAATTTCTCTCCATCATTGGCAGAAATCTCGTTCAGCCTAAGGCAAAACGCAGAGCTGACCGAACGCGCCGGATAAAGTGCCCTCGATACTTAGGTATTGTTTGCCGATTAATTTAGTTGCTTTGACACGAATCATCCCAGGTTATTTTCAAAATAAAATTAAGAAAAGGACAAAAAGTGTTCTTTGAAGTAAAATAGCTCTTTCTGATTCTCACGTTTATCCAAATAAGTCAGTAATTTCCCTCTTGCTTCCGAATGAGGTCACTGATTCTGGCTGATACACTAAAGGACTTTGGCCAAGAACAGAAAGAAACCAATTGTGATTTTACTCGGGAAATTACTTCTATCTAAACAAGTTATTCGATAAAAGAGAAATTAAATGACGAAATTCGAATAATCGCCATCGATTTTGTCATGTTTTCCACACTAGCCAAAACCTTGCCTAGTTTTTTTGTGATGTATTTTCACTCTAAAAGTTCAGCCTCTACATACATTTAGCTTAGACCAGGGCCAATTTTCTAATGTCAAATCAGTTGATGAAATTTTCTTTTCTCAAAAGAGCTCTTTAAACTTCTTCTAATGCAAATTGTTCTGATTAAAGAATTCTGTAAGGCCCAGTACTTACACCTTACATCTTTGTCTTACTTTAGCCAGCACAACGTTGATTTTTTTGTTTGGTATCATTAAACGGTGTAAATCGCAGAAGGCATACATGTACAGTGTAAAATGCGTTATTGCATTCATTTTATTAATTACTTTCTTCAGAGAACGTTTTGAAATATAGAGCCCATCTCGTGACATTATTTTCATAGACAATAATATTTCACGTGATAAGGCGAAGAGTAACTTGATGTTATGGCTGATAACCAACTTAAGTCAGTTACAATCAATTTCAAGGCTATTAGTTCTTAAGTTTTGCTTCTTTTAAAACTGTAAGAGACACTTCCATACTCTCTCTTAACCGAAACCTGTTAATAATCTTCCTTATAAAAAATGTTTGTTGTGATCAAAGAGGCCAATTCAGTTGAGTTTCAGGGCTTTTATGGAAACGAAACAAAACGCGGGTGTCTTCGCTTAAATATATCTCAGAACGACGCGACGGAATTAAATTTGCAAGGCTTTATCAATACATGAGCCAGATCAGGCCAAAACAGCATTAAACCCACTGTAGGAAATTGGTCAAATTGGTGGCGTTCAGCAAGACTTAAATCGGTCTATTTTGTAGAATCAGTTCTTGCAGTTATAATATTTCATAGATCACGTTATAAACAAGTAACTTCCAATTACGAGTTTATATTCAGACTGAGCCAAAACGAAGCAAATGGAACATGTACCAATTGTTTTGAATTTTTCACATTGAGAGAAAGCCATTCAAGGCGATACCTGTCGGATTTCAATGTCTGAAAAATTTTATTACAAAAATTCCTTTCTTTTTCTCTTGAACAAGCATGAATCCAGAAATTTGCGAAATTTTTAAAGCACTTGATCTCCAAATGTCATGAAATTTAGGAATAAATTTTTGAGTTCATATGTCGGTTCTCTGTCGAAAGATACCCGGAGGGGCTCCTAAAGCAAGTCCATGAACAACCTTAAAATGTTCCTCAGATCTCAAGCCATGAACTTTCATGTGCTTTCTAAGAGAACTCGGGTGCGTGTAACTTTTGTCGCAACCAATGTACTTACAGCGATACGGTTTTTCCAGCGTGTGAACGTGAATGTGTTTCCGGCGATCGCTGGAGTTCGCGAATCTTTTGTCGCAGCCTTTGAATTCGCACGCGAACGGCCTCTCGCCCGTATGCGTGCGAACGTGGATTTTCAGGTTCTCCGCTCGTGCGAAGCTCTTCCTGCAGCCCGGCTGATTGCACGTAAAGGGCTTTTCACCCGTGTGAACTCTGATGTGATTGATTAGTTTGTACTTTGCCTTGAAGGGCAATCCATTTCTCATGCACTCTTTCCAACAACAAACGAACCCCACGGGCGTGGCAGAGATCAGGTGTACATCAGTGATATGCGCTACAAGATCCTCTATTCTATAAAAACCTATACCACAGACCTGGTTAACCATCTTCTCTAACTGGATCCATTCACAAATTAAAACAGATGAACGCAACGTTGGGCTTTTTGCATCGTAGTTTGACAAACGAGATTCCTGAACATCAAGATGGCTGCAAACGCCATTCAAACTCTGTGGCTCTGTTTGCGTGGAGAACACGAGCGAAGGAGGTAAGTCTTGCGCGTATCTCTCCACGCGAGTTAGATATCCTTCGCTCGGGGAGTACGCTTCCCTGCCGTACAGTTTTCCAGGAGTGTCCATATTCAGATTGCAGTGCTTGTGGAAGACTATATTTATCCCGTTGTGCGTGTTTGACGGTATTCCCGGGATGACAATGTCCTGTCTGTCTCGACTAACATTCCCGCTCGAGTTATTATCGCGAGGCGCAGAGCTCGTCGAGTAAGTCTGTCGAGAATCATTGCTTTGCGGTGATTTGCGCACCTCCTCTGAAGCGCTGCTGTCCTCTTCCATGTGGTCGCACTCGTTTTCACCGTCTTCTGAATCTTCCTCGTCCGCGCCGGACGTGTTTGGTTTCCAATCTGCCCGATAAGCCGGGAACGAGAAGTATTCGCTTTTCACCTCATTGCACGGACTCGGCTCGTTCGACCGTTCACTCTTATCAGTCGGCGCGCTTACATCTTGTTCACTCTCACTTTCACTGTGCAGCGACTCCACGGAGCTCGTCCTTTCCATGATGTTCCCGTCCGTGTGTACCTCATAATAATTTCGAAACACAACCCTAGACTCTGTCTCAGACAGGCTGGTATATTCGAACGGGCCACTGTCGAGAGGTTCCGCTTTCACGACGATTGACGGACGACAGTGGTTGAACTCTTCGCTCCCCATGTTGGGAATCGAAACGCCTGTTCCGTCAGGGAGCGCTCCTGTAACGGAAGAAAACTAAAGAGACAGTGTATACCCTCCGTTCTCTGGAGCCACTACAAGGTTCTGAATGTTGTCACTTGTGCGCCGACTGAGAACATTTACGGGCCCGGCGGCGCATGCTCCATGCCACCTCACTGGGTGTCTCATTCATCACGTAGTATTTTTGCCCCCACCGTCAAAGCGCCCCACAGAGCGCTTTCAATCTTTGCGGCTGTTTCAATAAAACTTGTATTCAAACAATTTTAGTCGCAGCAAGCCGTCGTAACAGAGGTTGACACCCATGAGAACATCTGGGTCACATAAAATTTTCTGCTTCTTCCCATTGACACTTCCAACTCCCCCGAGTTCAAGATTATGCGAGAAATCTACGGAAGCAGGGTCCACACCGCAAGTGCCTTTGTTTTGGGGTATCAAGGACCTTGGACGGCGAAAATAACAAATTGATTTCAGGAGTTTTTTTGGCCCGAGTCTCCAATAAATGAGAAGGAAGAACGAGTTACCAATAACATGATTTTTTCAATTTTTTTTTACATGACCAGCTGAGTTCGCTCGCTATGAGCTTTGCGTTCATTGAGTAGACCGCCCTCCAGGAATACCAGAAGTTTATCTCCCACAGAAAACACACGGAAATTATTTTAGCGCCTCGCACGCAGGAGACTGGATTGAATATACAGTGTCGGAAAAGCTCCGTCGACTTTGCTTTCTTTCCTGACGGCCCCATGGATCAGCGTAGAGTTAAATGAAAGGGTTTGGAAATCAACTGAGCAGTTTCTCGCACGATTATAGACGAGAATTTCATTGCGTGACGGTGGTGTTCGACCTTGACAAAGAATAGACGATAATACGCGTTGGCTCCCCAGGAGTGACACAAAGTCAATAATCGAGGTTTGTGCTTTGTGCGTCATAGAATATAGCGCGCGCGAACGCGTCTTTCGGCCACGCGTACACGCGACTCTTGTTTCTCTATTAAAGCTACACGTTCTCGGCGAATTTTTGCTTTTCTTTGTTGAAGATGCTGATTTTAGGTTCTGGAAGAAATGGCGAGAAGTACTGAAAAAGACGTGAACTGCACGCCGGAACAAACATATTTTTCGAAAATCACAATTTAGACACAGTCATGTTTGCGGTGCTTTTCTTCTCTCGCTTTCGCTCGGGGCTGTTATAAGCGTTGATTTTTCATCGCGCTTTAATGTTGTAAAACTATAGTTTCAACCAATATTCAGTTACCAGCTCAAAGACCTTATTTTCGAAGCCTTGTTTTGATTAAAAATAGATCCACCTTGTTAAGAACTTTCCGCCCTCAAGTAGAATCAACAAAAAACACGATGTATTTTTAATATAGAAGCTTAACCCTTTGGGGAAAATAAACCATACGAATTTTTTTTCAAAGCGTTCAATTGACGTTTTAAAGCTGGCGAAGTGAATATTTGCGATAGAGGATTCCTATTGAACTGAGATGATAGTTAAATTTACGAGACTTGTATCTCTAGAGTCTCTTATACCGTAATTATTTTTTGTGCGCCGTTCGTGAATACTTAACTTGAATTCCAAGGGCCACAATAGCTTCGATTTCATATGCGACAATTCATTTCGGCGATGTGTAGAATTTTTTTTCTGTATTAAGAACTAAATGATCTCTTTAGCACATGTACGAGAAATAAGAGGAAAAATGGTGTCAGTCCTTCTGGAACAAAGACTTTCCGCGCATAAGCGTGGCTCTCTATTGACTAGACATACAGGTCTTTAAAATAACGGCATCAGCACAAATACGATTTCTCGCGGCGGTAAATCAAGCACACAATATCACCAGAGTGGTTTATACAAGTGCTGCATTCGTCCAGGTTTGTAAGAAACAAAAATGGTACACGACCGTAGTTCCGGTCATAATATGGAGGCGGTATTTTCTAAACAGTGAGACGAACTCCACGGTTTAATGGCCTATTGATGCATTCAAGACTCGACAGTTAATACTGAAGACACTTCAATCGTCACGGCTCTAGATTTCATCGATCTATAGCGAGAGAAGTCTTAACTGGCCGAAAGTAAACTGCTTCTGATCGGATCGTGCGGGTGAACCCTTGAATGACTCGCCTCTAAACGTAGTCTCTTGTAAATATGAATGGGGCATCCAGGAGACATATAGTAAAAGATTTTCTCTTGAATTGGCATTTTCAAAGTTGCTGAACCCTTATTTTCCCAGTTTATTAACTGTCTGTTTTTTTCTTAGTTATCTTTATTGCGTTGTTCAAGAGAGAAGTAGCCGAAGTGTATGAGCTGAATGCAACCATACCGTACAGGGTTGTGTCTGACATAAAACTGAGTTGTAGTCACTTAGTCTAGAGGCTTCTACTTACCTAAACCTGGGCCATAGGTAGAGTTCAGGCACATGTACGAGAAGAAACTGCTAAATTAATTGATCATAAAAATAAGTTGCGTTGTCTTACCTAACGTGAAATAAAATTACAAATATCAGGAAAGCGTTCAAACTGCAAGTACAATTGTCAACTCTCCCGTAAAATTGTTTATACAAGTGTTATTTTAGCTGGAAGAAGATTGTGTCCGTTTCTCTGTTTGACTTGACTTAAATTATCTGTTCCAATATCTAATGTTTGGGCATGTTTGATATTGGGCTGACTGTTGCATACATCAATACGGCCCTAAGTGTTTTGTTGACGCCAGAATGGGTTAGACGCTTTTAAACTACTGTATTCCGCAATGAAAGAAGAAATTAACGAAAAATGAAACGGAAACATGCGGTTTTATAATTAATAGCCTGTCTAAAGTGAGATATTACTGTCTCAATATTTGCGGAGTGGATGTCTCGCACGAGATTAGTCGGCCATTTTATTCTTGTATCGATCAGCCCCGGTCTCAGCCTGTAGATGAACTAAAAAAGACATGAAGTGAATAATTTCAGTGTTTTACCTCGGACAAGTAAAGCAAAAAATTACCAACACCACACTTTGTGCTTGGGCAAGGATTTAAGATAACGAATCAGGGCTATTCACTTAAGTTATACCAAGTTGTTTGAAGAGACTGTTGTAAAGTGTTATTCAAGGTCTGGTGATGAGAATATACAATGAATTAGAAATGACAAATCTACACACGTAGCAAACTTTCAATCATCTTTCCATAACAGCCACACGTCACAAGTTTTCACCGAGATTTAAGGCAATACAAAACCTGGTTCCATTGGCCGTGCAATTTATATTAATCGAAGAATCGACAAAGAAAAGTTGTCGCTATCACCAGATTTGTGGCGGAGTATTTCGGAGAGTTTCTGCTAATGACAAGAAATATGAACGACAATTTTTTCACGATCGTGTTTTACATACAACAAACTTGTAAAAGGCTCAGTTTAATGAATCCTTTTAGAAGGCAGTCGCTAATACCGAAATTTGTTTGTTGACAAGCATGCACCGTTTCACAACACATGCACGAACTTTAATTAAAGGCTTAAAGAGACTTAGCTTTTGTTTTCCACGATTACTCTGCTTAAGCAATAAATCCCTCTTTTCCTACCAATTTTCTTCTCCTAATATCTGCCGTCATTATCAAAAAACTTCTTACCTTTACTTAATCCGTTTGGATCTGAAAAAGTACTTCTATTCTTTACAGATTCTCCTTTAGCATCAACGACCGAACGAATACAGCTCCGTGCACTAAATTGAGACCAAGTGAGTTCGGTCAATCCCGATTTAGTTTGTTCGTGGGTGGCGAATTGAAGTTCCAATTCAATGGAACACAACATGGTTCGGTAATCCCTTTATTATTTTTCGCTTTTTAATAAACTCGAGCTTATAGCTTAGCACAACACGCTACAAATGTAGCACTTTTAGGACCCTAATGTACTTTGAGCTTAAGTTGGCCCAAGGTAACAAGGTAACTGACAGTAACCGGAATCAGCTGAAGAATAATTGATTGTTGTTCGTCTCTTCCATTCTTTTTCAAGCACTCCATAGACGTCTATATTTGTCGAGTCCCAAGGTGTTTAAAAAGCTCTACCTGTGTTGGCTTAAGTGTAGCGACAAAGGACAGACCTTTTTGATGCAAACAAACGACTCTAAAAATAGCTAAAGGAAGACAAAAAACCTGTGGCGGAACAAATTTGAATTGTTAGTCCAAAGGCTGGTTGTTTCTTGTCCGGCTGTCTTGTAACAAACTTGGATGTTCCACGTTCATCGGTAGGACAGTACGGTATGTGAAGATAACAACATGTGATAACATCAAACATTTGTACAATCTTGGCATCTTTTAACAGGCGCCTGATTATTGATCAACAACATTCAATGCAACTAAACTGATTAATTGAGTATAGAGTTTGCAGTTCAATGGTAGACAGAACTGGCCTAATTTTTAACAAATCCCAAAGTTATCATTCAGCTCATTCACCGAACCT